AGGTATTTGGACTAAAAAAATGTAAAGTTTGAAACTCTGCATGTTTCAGTGATAGCTGCATTATTTTTTTTTTTTTTTTTTTTTTTTAAAGTTCCTGAATTCTTTAAACTTTATGAAACTTTTCTGGTGGGTATTTTTGACATAAACATTGGGTGTGGGAGTAATAATTATTTATCTTAAATGAAGAATATTTTTGTTCTTTTTAATTACAAATGTATACATCTGTTTTTTATTTTAAAAAAATCATTTTGTGAAAGTCTTTTTTTTTTTTTTTTTATGCAGAACAACTATGTCAAGATAACTTTGTAAAATGTAAGAATTGATTTTTACACTGTTTTGATTTTATGAACAGGACCCTATCTAAAATGATAAAAAAATGTCATGCCTTGAATGTCTAAGGAATACTAATTTAGAACAATTATCTCACCCCGCTTTTTTTATTTTATTTATTTTATTTTTTTTTGTGCTAGTTATTATACTAACAATGCTTTGACTGTTGTATTTTTTTTTTCCAGGCATCCTTCATTGTAGTTATTTATCATGTTGTAATTTCTAATTAAACTGGGAGGTTGGAGGTAGCAGGGTCATGTCATGAAATCTACCCTTTTTTTTTTTTTTTTTTTTCAAAGAAAATTATGCCGCTTTTTTCAATTTAATTCATATTTGAGGAACTACTATGCAATTAGATGGACGAGGGATTTTATGCATTTTATATGAAAATGTAACAGTTTATGGTTAAAGGCTTTTAACCATCTGCTATTTAGACCAGTGGTTCTTAAACGGGGGTGGGGATTTCCCCCCCATGCAGAAATTTCAGGTTGTTAGGGGGCAAATGTTTTGAAGGAGGTTTTCTGTGATTTTTTTTTTTTTTTTTTTTTTTTTTTTTTTGTGTGTGTGTGTGTGCAAGATTTTATAACAAGTAACTCAGCAAAGAGCCAGTGGTTGTTTGTCTATTGCTGTTACTGTTTGGGATCAGACTGTTTACTTTGCAAGCTCTATTTGCTTGCATTTGTATGTGCAATTTTATATTTGTACAACCTTCCCAAATTTTGAGACACAATTTGACATTATTTTCTTTTAGTATTCCTCAGGAGAAGATGTCAAAAAAAAAAAAAAAAAAAAAAAAAAAATTGCCATTATCAAGATTCATACTTCTGGTTTTCCTTTCTGATCCAGAATGAAGAGCAAGTACCTCAATGTATGCTTTGTTTGAAAACTTTAGGGAATGGCTTCATGAAAGCATTCCAGTTGAAACAGCATCTTGAAAACAGCCATTCAGAATTCAAAGACAAGGATTGTGCAGTTTTGAATCTCAAAGAGGCCAATTTGAAATGAGCAAGATGAGATGTGACTGGAACCTTCCAAAACAAAATGGCTGCAATTGTGAAAGCATCATATGAAGTTGCCTATAAAATCACAAAGAATAAGAGGGGACACAAGATTGGGGAAACATTGGTAAAACTATGTTTGCTGATCTGTTCCAAACTAGTCTTGGGAGACTCTGCCTATCAGAAGATGAAGTAAATTTCAATGTTGAATGACACCATTCACTCTTGTATTAATGATCTGGCTGAGAATATGAAGTGGTGATTAATTTCAAAAATTAAGAAGTCACCTTTTTTTTCTTTTGCAATCCAAATGAATGAGTCAATGGATGTTGCAAATCTTTCTCAACTGTTGGTCTTTGTGAGGTACATCCATGAAGAGAAAATTGAAGGGAATTTTTTGTTTTGCCAACTGCTCAAAACAAGTGCCAAAGTTGATGTCATGCAACTTTTGTTCTTGTTTTTTGGAGAACATAACTTGAATTGGGATTACTTGGTTGGTGTGTGCATGGATAGAGCACCTGTAATGTTGGGTTTGAGATCTGGATTAGTTATCCTCATCCTGCAAAAGAATCCACTAAACTAATCTCAGAGAAGCACTGACTCGAAAACTCTTCCAAGACTTGTTGATCATGATTAGTCAATTACATCAAAGGTTTTGCTCTTAACACAAGGCTGTTTTGGCAGTTTTTGTCAAGATTTGGAAGCAGGACATAATGCTTTGCTTTTTTTATATGCAAAGCTGATAGCTGTCCAAAAGCAATATGCTTCAATGGGTGCTTGAACTGTTCAATGAGGTTGTGTTGGTCTTTGAGGAACAAGGAAAGACTATTTCTTTTTATCATCTGACTAGCTTACTTGGCTGATGTTTTGGATGAGGTTAATGAACACAAGAAGAAGCTTCAAGGAAATATGAACATTCTTGATCAAAACAGACAAAATCAAGGCATTTGTGGCCAAACTTGATCTCTGGAAGGGCCAAGTGGGAAGGGGCAATTTTGTGTCTTTTATGAGTTCGAGTGTGTTGGAGATGTTATTCTGAAAGGAATTGCTGAAGATATTGCTGGTCACCTGACTGCTCTTTGAGATGGGTTGCAAAGATATTTTCTGAGAATTGTTGCAAAGAATGTTGATCAAAAATCCATTTTGATGTGAGGTTGAAACTGTTGAAGAAGCATTTCAAGAGCAATTCCTTGAGCTCTACCATGACTTCTCTGAAGGATTAATACAGTGCTGAGGAGCTGGAGATGTTTTGGCTGTTTCCATTCTGTATCCAAAACTTGGCAGCAATGCACTAAAAATGTTTTCAACAACTTATTTGTGCTAGGCAGGATTCTCTGTGCTTGCTGATGTTAGAACAATATTCTGCAATTGTCTGAATGTTGAGTTTGATCTGATTGGGCTCTAGGATGGATTCCCTTTGATATTGATCACAACTTTAAAGTTCCCATTGATTAAGTTTTTTTGTTAGCTTTTTTTTTTTTTTTTTTTTGGTAACATTTTTTGGGAGGGGGAAATGACTTGGTTGGATAATTGGAAGAGTGAAGTGGGTTGAAAAAGGTTAAGAACCACTGGTTTAGAGCCTAATGCTGAAAATGATCTGAAACTATGTGATCCTTTATTTATTAACACAATGGATATTCATTTGTGCAGTCTGCTTTTCCGATGTTGATTGATGCATGTACAGTGTTTTTATTGAACATCTTTGTTGGTTTTATTATATAAAGAAAATATCTGTCGACTATTTTAGTTGGTGTTACTAATGATCATTAACCTGGACATTTTGTGGGGGATGCATCCCAAATCTTTTAAGGGATTTTTGATTTTCTCTCAATAATACTTTGTCTCTGGATAATATCTGATTTAAATATGACTTTTGTTATGATAAATGTTCTGGTTAATACTGTCTTTTAAAAAAAATCTTTAAAAAATAAAAACAACCAAAAAACAGGCTTATATTCTCTTTGGGCAAATAGTTTTCATTAAAAAATCATTTTTGCATGGGTTTAATCCTGTTTTTGAGCTAATCTGCTGTGATATTTGAGTGAACTGCAATGGCAATGACATTTTAAATTTTTTTTTTACTATTAGAAATCTGATGCCTTTTCTAGTTTTGAGTAATATTTTACCTAGAGCAATGTTAATAATTATTACACCAGTGATATAATAATCAAAAAATGTAAGTTTCTTCAAAACTGGCTTCTTTCTTGGCTTTTAATTAGATTCTTGCCTAGCAGGTCTTTAAAAATGTATAAATTGTGGAAAAATGCCTGAGAACAAATTCAAAGGATTAATATATTTAAAAAAAACAAAAAAAAACTGGTAGCCATTATATTCTAAAGAACAACTTGTTTATACCGCCCCCAACTTCTACTGAACCATTTATTCAATATATATATATAATTTCTAGAGCCTATATTTTTTATTTTTATCTTGCATTTTATAAGTGAAATAAAACCTGACATGACCACCAAATAAGTAATTATCGATGCTTTTAATAAAGATAGATATAAGTTGAGACGCATACAATATATTTCAAATATAAATATATCCAGAACATTTCCAGAACATTTCCAGAACATTTTTTTTTTTTTGCTTTGGGCATAATGTGTAAAAACTCAACAAATGTTCTATATATCCAAGCACTTTTGACTATTCTATTAGCCACCATCAAGGATTTTTTATTTTTAACTGCATATGTAGATTTTTATTTGTATGTATAGTGATGTGAATATTTTTTTTTTTTTTTTTTACAGGCATGGTCAGCATGTTGTGGCCATGTTCATAGTTGATATTATTGAGTGTTGGCTTTTTCTTTTTTAATAATGATTCTATTAATTTAGCAGTTTTTTTTTTTTTTTTTTTTTTTTTACATGTGTATGAGGCTATTATGATCATATTTTCTCTGAGTATGTTGCAGGAAAAAAAAAAGACATTCCCATCACTATAGATATACATAAATCAAAATCTACATATTCAGTAAAATTAGAAAAAAAACAAAACAAAAAAAAACCTTTCATAATAGACCATATGGACAGTTTTTACATGCTTTACTTTATGTCCAGAAAAGTAAACACTTGTACAAATACAAGAAAAACTTAAATAAAAAAGCTTAATCAGTGTACTTTTGAAAAAATAATTTTTAATGAAGTTATATATATATATATATATATATATATATATATATATATATATATATATATATATAATATGGTGTAGCAATTTTTCTTGCAAACAAGTTTGGCTAAAAACAATAATTTATGTCTGATATTTCTTAATGAGTTTTCCTTGTTGACTGATTAGTTTCCATATCTTGGTGTGGAATATATGTAGGAACTATACACAATTTGTGCTTCTTTGTCACCCCCACCTCTCTCTCTGTATCTCTTCCTAAACTTTAATGTTTTTGTTCTTTTTGTTTCAGATATGGAATCGGACATTTTATCATCAGTCATGTATCTGGTATTAACGCTAATGGTAATGGTATTGGTGACAAGAATATACCGTCGACAACGTTACAAACACTATGAAGTGAGGGTCCATGATGTCAGTAAAGGTCACCGATGGGTGATGGTTAGCATGTTCAGCAAGCCAACCTACTGTTCGATCAGTGGAAGCAACATTATCCATGGATCGCAGTGTGACTCTTGTAGCATCTGTGTGGATGATCATAACATGAAGCTGGCCAACCGCAACATCCCGTGTAAGCGGCTGTCAACCAAGGGCAAGTACACTATCCACCACTGGGTGCACGGAAACCTGCCCCTGTGCAGCACTTGCTATGTGTGTGGGGAGATCTGTGGCATCCAGCCCCAACTTTGTGATTTCATTTGCCGCTGGTGTCAACGCTGTGTACACAATGGCTGCTTCCAGGTGAAAGATAACGAATGTGACTTTGGTCCTTACAAATCGGTCATTGTTCCCCCAAATTGTGTCAGACTCAAGTGGGTGGGCTTCAAAGGCCGCCGTCACCTCATTGTTGATTCAGTAAAGTGTCCAAACATTGAGAATTGGAGTCCAATTATCGTCATTGCGAACAGGAAGAGTGGAAACAATGATGGGGAGAGTATTCTTCAAGCATTCCGCTCCTATTTAAACCCTGCCCAGGTGAGATTCTATGCACATACATACATACTGTCTAATTGTAACTTGTATATTAAGTTTAATTCTCTCTCTCTCACACATACATGTATATGGTCTCTCACTCTCTCTCTCACACATACATGTATATGGTCTCTCACTCTCTCTCTCTCACACATACATGTATATGGTCTCTCTCACATACATGTATATGGTCTCTCATACATGTATATGTCTCTGGTCTCTCTCTCTCACATACATGTATATGGTCTCTCTCTCTCACATACATGTATATGGTCTCTCTCTCTCACATACATGTATATGGTCTCTCTCTCTCACACATGTATATGGTCTCTCTCTCATACATGTATATGGTCTCTCTCTCTCACATACATGTATATGGTCTCTCTCTCTCACATACATGTATATGGTCTCTCTCTCTCACATACATGTATATGGTCTCTCTCTCTCACATACATGTATATGGTCTCTCTCTCTCACATACATGTATATGGTCTCTCTCTCTCATGTATATGGTCTCTCTCTCTCATGTATATGGTCTCTCTCTCTCTCTCTCACATACATGTATATGGTCTCTCTCTCTCATGTATATGGTCTCTCTCTCTCTCTCACACTCACACTCACACACACAGAGAATTAGTTCATTTGTATAATGTAAATCTGTTATCACCAAATAGATTTCCAGTATAAGAATTTTTTATTTTTAATAAGTATTAGCAAATATACCTGGTATTGTGAGTAAGGTCCCCCCCTTTTTTTTTCCTTTGGCCCTTTGCACTATGCTGTTGCGTCTTTGAGGGTTTTCCATATGACATAAATGGTATTATTGAAATTGTCATAATTAAAGGAGCTTGATAAGTTTATTATTTTTACTGTAAAAAGAAAAGAAAAAGGGGACTGTGAACGATTTTTACTATAGAAATGTATTGTCAACAAGGCGAAATAATGTGGTGGTGGGGGAGGGGTCAAGAATGAAGACAGACATGACTGGAATTTTTGAAGGAGAAGGAACAGTTACCAGTCACTAGCACAATAAAGACAAAAATATTTTAGTGTCTGCAAAAACAAGTGTGTGAAAAGGACGGGTTTTTCTCTTGACATAATTATTATCTGTAATACCTTCACTCTCTTGGGAATGTTTATTTACAAGATTATGAAAATATATGAACGAAGTACAATGCACTATTTATTATTTACCTTTTATAAAGAAATATATGTGAAAAGAAATCTTTTTATTCAAAAACTTTTTAAAATGTTATCAAAATAGGTAAACCATCTACAATGCAATATTTATTATTTACCATTTTATAAATAACAATGAAAACAAATTTTTTATTCATAATTTTATAAAAATATCAGTAAATTGCTGCATAAAAGAAATGCACAGGAAATGCATTTTTTTCAAATTTATAATTACAGTTTCTCATTATGTTTACATAAATTTTCATGTCTGACAGATATTTTTTAAATTTATGAATAAGATAATTTAATTTCATATTTATTTCCTGATAAATGATAAACAATGCATTGTATTAGGTGGTTTGCAATTTTAAGGTTTGCATTTTTAGAATATTGTAAATATCAAATTATTCTTGTAAATAAACTATTTGGTAAATAAATACTGTTTAATATCTTTGTAAATTTTCAAGGAACTAAGTAAATATATAAATTCACTTTCATATGTTTGGATTTTATTAAAATTCTAATAATCGCTTTTAAAAAACAAAAAAACAAACATTGTCAAGGGAGTGAAGGTAGTTAAAATAATAGTGGTGTCAAGGGAAAAGCATTCTTTTGAAATATTTTATTGAGGGCATGAAAGTTAGATTGCCAAGTATTTTACATGAAGAATGCCTAAACTTTTGGTGCTGTTTCAACCAATTTGTGCAAATCAAGGGAGAATTTTGCTGAACCTCTTGAATAAATGAGAAAAGTTAAGTTACCTGTAAAACAAAATGGGTCAATAACATATTTTAAGTTCTTTCTCCATACCAATTTGTAATTAATTCAATCTTTAGTTATTCAACTATCATGACCTTGTGCTAAACTTTGTAACTAACCATGTTTATCTTGCAAGCTAGTCTGTTAAGAGGTTTTTATTATTCTTATTGGGTGCCCAATTACAATGGCCTTGTGCCAGAATAAACTACACAACCTCTCTTTCTTGAAAATATAGTGATTTTTTTTTTATTTTTTTTTTTTTATTTTTTTTTATTTTTTTATTAATGTAAACATTATTTTTAGTGCTTGGGTCAGCTTCCTGTTTTTTTTCTTTTCTTATACAATGAAATTAATATCAACCAGCCTAGATAAAAAAACAAGTCCTATGAAAGAAAAATGCTTTCCAACATGAATCAAACCTGTACTTCCGTTTTCCATAAGGCAAAACGCTCCTATAGCTGAAGCGTGCTGTTCCCAATTTGTTCATGCAAGGCCATTAAAGCTCAATTACCTCCTTAAGTAATCCACATATCCTGTTGTGATTTCTTTGAATCCATAACTTTATTTACATATCTAAAATATAAACAATGGTTTTTAAATAGATTTTTTTTTTTTCTCAATTCAACATTATTTTTATTACTATAAATGTTATTTTCCCTGATGGAAAAAGGAATGCAGGTTGGGAGGTACATTTTTTTTTTTCTTAGTAAGATTTATTAATCTTGGCTGGTTGATATTAATTTCACTGTTTAAAGATGTAAAAAAAAAAAAACCCTCAAATGTGTACCCACTAAAAAGAATGTTTATAGTAATAAGAAAGGATTAAAAAAAAATCTATTTAAAAATATAGTCAGTTCCATATTTTATAAATGTTTAACTATTGTGGCCTGGAGTAAATTTCATTAAGGATTTCATTTATATGGCAAAAGACCATAATTTTAACTTAAAAAAATTCAGTTTTTAAAATTAAAATTATTAAGATGAAAATGTGTATAAAGTGCGCTAATTCTGGAGTCTTCTACGGTAAATTAATTTCAAGTGTCATGCAACATATCTTCTTTCCTGACACAACTATTGCTATTGCAATGTGGGATATGTAAAAAGAAAAAAATCAAAAAGTGGTAGAAAGCTAATGGCAGTTATCCATCTAGCTATATTGGATGCCAAGAATTTAAATTTAAAGACAAGCATCTTTGGATTTTGAGTGCTACTCAATGTAGAATTATAACTGGGGTTTTTGTATTGGTATCCCCACTTACTACGTATATTAGTTTACATCAATAAACCCTATTATTAGTGTGAAGAAGTCTTTTTGAAGGCTGAACATGTAATGTAGTTTTTTTTGTTTTCACCATTTTGTCATTCAATTACCATCTATTAGTTTGCTATATAGATTTGTATATCATATTTTCACAAAAGACAATGTAAACTCACAATTATCTACTAATACTACTGTGAAAAATTGAGGTGGGGAAAATTTGACCATGTTAAAATATTCAACTCATTCACAACAAGAAAGGAAAAGAAGAAAGCAGATAAAGTGTAAATACAAAATTCTTATATTTCAGAAATTGTTGATATTTTTTTACAAAAAATGTTTTTAAGCTTATTTTCTTATGAAGACAGTTTTTCCTATGACAGGAAATACTCTAGTCTATTTCCTGTCATACGAAGATTTTTTAATGGCTCCTCTTACTACCTCAACTCAGACTTTTACTTTTATTGTTACTCAGAGGAACTACTGTAGACATTGTTTTTATTTATGTAGGACACGCAAATGTAGTATTTAAAAAATAATGTTTTTTTTTAATCTAGTTTCTCATGAAGAGAATTTTTATATGACAGGAAATAGACTAGACAGATTCTTAATGACTCCTCTTACTACTTTCACTAAGCATTGACTGCTACTCTGACTTTCACATGGACTAACTACTTGATATCCTGTCCTATTTATACTTTTTTTTTTTTTTTTTTTCTTCCACTCAAGGTAGAGGGTTACTGTGTGTAGTCCTATTAGCATAGGAAAGGACAAGCATTAGGAGTATAGAATTGAAGCAAACTTTAGAAGGAACTGGAAACTCAATCCTAAACATGAAACATTTTAATGTATGTTACTTGATGAGTATAAAATTTCTAATAACTTAATAACTATGCAAACTTAAATATTTGAACTTTGCAGATTAATAATTTGTTTTAAATGTTGTGTCAATTTTTATATTTCTCTTTAAATTATTAGTTAAATTTTTATTTTAAGTTAGAATCCACTTGGTAGGGACATCATATCTTTTTAATAATTTTCAATAAAATTTTGTTTATTTTGTGTGAAACTGGTTAACAGAATGTTCAAATAATGTGTTCACTATAATTTGAATTTAAATTTGTTCATTTTACTGAATCTTAATTTATATAGTTTTTAAAGTCTTTCTTCAAAAACACTTCATTACCAATGCCAGAAAGGTTTTTGGAAGAGTTTGAATGCCAAGCAGATTTTGACAAGACAACTGATCTGAGATTCAATTATTTACTAAGCTTATTTTAGTTAGGCATAAATGTCTTCCAGTGAAGATCAACTAATAAGGTTAGAACTGACTACAGCAATAATTGTGTTCATGACATTATTATTGACTTTATTTCCTAGTTATTATTCTACTAGCCTAGAAGCCAACCTTTGGGTGGACTTAGACTAGCTCCTGTAGAGGGCTTTTGGGCCTTTACCTTCAGCATCTTATGTATGTAAAAGTTTTAAGAATTTAAAAATAATAAAATTATTTTATCTTTATTCAACACCTTAATTCAGCATAACCTTCCTTCATATGCACAACCAATCTCCACAGTTTGTTTAGATTCATTTTGTGCACAATTTTTATTTTCTTTTAAAATCCCCATTCTTTATTATCCCTTCACATAAAGTCACTCTTAAGACATTAGGGAACCTGAGCTATGTAATATTTCAAATACGTCACAGTACATGTGCTAGAAAAAGAAAAAAACATGAGCAATGTACCATGCCCCACTTAAGTTTTAATTATGATTTAATTAGGCAGTATCAGTTGCAGTTGTGATAAAAAGTGAAGTTAAAGTTAAACCTTTAATAAAGAATTGTTTTTTTTTTTTAAACCTTTCACTCTGATATTTAAATTAAATGAGTTATTTGATTTTTAATCGTGTGTAACTACAGTAGTTACTGTTATCAGGTTCTTTTTTTATTCACTGAGATTAAGACACACACATACACTGCACTTTATTTATATAAAAGAAGATAAATGGGGAGATATTTAAATGCTGTTATTGATATTAGCTCAGTATGGCACAAGGCCATAAATGTGGATCCACTTAATTCGTAAGTCTTTGAAATTAACTTGCTGGCAACAACTCCACAGCGGTCTTTTATGTTCTATTTATTGATTTACTTCTTTCGCTTGAAGTAACTGCTTTTCGTCTGGATGAAGGGGAATAACTTATGTAAACATTGGTGAGCAGTTACTGCCCTTATTCATCCGTATGTCCGTAGAGAAAACTTGCAACATTTTAAATTTATGTGCTCGAGCATCCTTCTGCTCCTAGATAATAGATATCCTTTGAGAGCAGGCTATTTGAAATTTCTATGATAGAGGAGGTGCTGAGGGGCTTGAGCATTTTTTTTTTTTTGTCTCTAGTACATGTATATGGGAAATCCTACTTTAAACTTGACTTTGTGTTACATTCTGCTGATGTCTCAATGAAAGAGTGAGCGAAAACCCTTATAAAAATGAAAACGTGAAATATCACTACAGGTCATATAACATAACCTTGATAACATAACCTTTTGGACCTTTTTGTAATGTATTCATCTCTGAATTTTTAAGATAGCTCTGTGATCTAACTCTCTGGTGGTGTAATGTCTGAAAAACAGCCGTTGCCTGTGTTTTTTTTTGTGGCTTCATTTTCTTGGAAGGAGGAGACTTTGACACTCTTCAAAATTTGCAGAGGCTTGACAGACAATGCCTTGCCACTGTGAACAAACTTCACCATTGATACTTTTTTTTTTTTTTTTTGGTCAGCTTTTGCATCTTTTACCACAGGTTGTACAGAGGGCATCTTTTGTGTGCAGATAGCATTCCCCCACATCAGAATTTGGCCTTGATAAGCAGAAATTCAATATTAGTGTTAACCTGGTTCGCAACTTCAATGTTGTGTCAACATGCAACGTGACCCTTGACTAAGCTTTCCACTGACTGGCCAATATGTTGCATTTCAATTCCTTGATCTTGTGTGTGTCAAATGCTGAGAAATTGCCTGCTGCATTCTCACAAGGTAACAAGATGAACGACAAACACCCCATTGAGAAATAAGAACACAAACCCTATTTCTCATATGTAGATATTTTATTCAAGGTTTTGCCAGCTTGCTTAGGTGGGTAGGTAGGTGAGACTTTGGACAACATCTCTGTTGATCTTTTAGATTGTGTGGCTGGCAATACAAATGGATGCCATCAGAACCACATGATGGACAAGTCTGTCTCCTGTCAAGGATGAACAAGAACTGACTCCCCAATCACAAGCATGACTGTTAATATAGACCAGCACCTGGAAATAATCAATGTCTGATTTGCTGTTACTTCGTTTGCAAAAAACCCCTCATTTATTCCTTTACTTTCCCATTCCTCTTTGGTTAAAGTGGATGCAGCTTAGAAGATCAGATCTCAAAAAGAACCACTTGCTGGCTATAAAACAGAGATGCTTGAGAATGAAATAAAACCACATCTTTCTTTTCTATTTGGGGTTTGGTGTCAGTTCTGCCATCAGATTTCAAACATTGAATAAAGATACTGCATGCAGATGTTCCACAATTTCTTGCTAACTCTACTGTATATAGCTTACAGCTATATAGTGTTGAAACACTGGTTTTCATCTCATCCCCAGAGTTAAGCAACATTGAGCCTGGTCAAAACCTAGAAGGGTGACCACTTGGGAATACCAGGTGGTGTAAGTTTGCAGGTGATGTGATAGATAATGGCTCAGGAATGAAAAATCGGACAGTTGAATTCGATTTCCAAATGAGATTGTTATCTTCACTTCCATGCAAATAATCTTGGGAATGGTATGAATCCATCTTATACCCCAGCTATGTGTTAAATAGCAGAGCAGACTAGGTCCTATGGACTTAGTTGGCAAGCAGTCTACCACAGAAAGTAAATCAATCATGAATTGGAAAGAGACCTGCATCCTGCATGACACCGAAGGAAGGAATCTTACTTATTATAAAACGCAGATTGTGTGTGTGTCTGTGTCTGTACGTTTATATATTGGATTGGATTTCCTACATTTTTCAACCAATTTCAATAAAACTTCACAGGACTACGTAAAATTACCTTGCGGTGGTTCTGACAGTGCCAAAAATTGGAAAAACGCAATTGTTTTTGCACAAAATCAATTTGAAAACACAATAAAACACGATTCTGTCATCAGCATGAAAGGGGACAACTCATATCGAGTTATACTTATTATAAAACCCAGGTTGTTTGTGTGTGTGTTCGTTTATATATGGGATCGGATTTCCTACATTTTTCAACTGATTTCAACAAAACTTTTTTTTATTTTTTTATTTTTTTTTGGGCAGGTAGTGTTTCTTATTGTCTTTTTTTTTTTTCTTTATTTTTACATTCAGAATGCTTTAAAAATTTCATTTACAAAGACAATTGTTTATAATAACATTCTATTCACTCGATAGACTCATAACGATTGAAAACAATGTTTTTGTTTGGGTTTGACCAATTCGTAAAAAAAAAAACAAAAAAAAACTAATTAAGACATGCGTGTCTGTCAACCTTAAACAATAATCTTTGTCAATTTTATTTTTCAGTCTTTATGATGGTCGATACTTGATCTATCTCTTACTGTTACATCCCCGGGCAATGCCGGGCTCTACTGCTAGTACTGTATATAGGTAGGTATAACCAAATGAATTAATGTCTTCATGTATGTATATTTTTCAGGTCATTGACATTTGTGACATTCCTCCAGAGTCTGGTCTTGAATGGTGTCATCTATTACCCAATGTTGACATCAGGGTACTTGTTTGTGGGGGAGATGGTACTATTGGTTGGGTACTAAATGCAATTGAGAGGTTAAAACTAGATGTAAGTATTTATGCTCTCTTTTAAAAGTTTTCTATTTTTTCCATTAAATAATGAATTTACTCAATAATAAATCTATACATTTGTAAGCTGACTGCAACCCACATTATCAAGTTATTGTGAATTTCATCATCAATTCTTCTCCCCACTTCTTTTTTTTTTTTTTTTTTTTTAAAGATCATTTCACCCCAAGCAAGGCAGTAAAGCTACTAGGATGCAAGGGTTTACTGAATGTTAGAGAATATGAGAAAAACTATTATTAAGGAGAGAGGAGAATAAGAACTAAGACAGATGCTATCAATTCACATTGCAATTATAATGAAAATATTTATAGAAAAGGCACATGGAACTTGTGTTACAGTGGTGCGTAGGCATTTAAGCTGAGATGCCAGGTCAGGACCAATAACATTGGAGATTCTTCTCTGGTTTTTTCAAGAATCTCTAAATATACAGCAAGACCAGGTGTGGCAGCAATATTTAAGACATGGATGAATGGTAGACTTAGAAATATGTAAAATAGTTTCTGGACAGAAAAATTGTCTAGAATGACACAGTGAACCAAATATCTTAGCAGCAGATTTCATAGTGTATGCTACACTAAGGCTACATATGGTTTTGAATTCACAGTTGTCCTTCTTTTAGATTGGCTGCCAATCATGGCTAAAGAGCCCAGCCTGCTTTGCTATTTAATCTATAGGTAGCAGGGTGAAGAGATAGAATTTTACTCCCTTTCCAAAGGGTATTTGCATATAAGTAAAAGTAACAAACTCTGCAAACCCTGTTTACTTGCACTGCCCTAAAATGTTGGCGATAGTGTAACTATGCAAATGCATTGATTACATTTTATGCATAAGTAGTCATCGGGACTTTATCTATAGAATGAACTCTCTAGTCACATGGAAGAAAGAATTGGATTAATTTAACAAAATGTGTAAAAATTAAGTTGACTGTGCAGACTTCTCAATGAGAATCTATCAGGAAGATGAATCAGGCATGCCAGTAATAATGACAATGTGCTATTGAAATGGCTATTGCATTCATCTGACTTGACATCTTGTGATTTTTTTTTTTTTTTTTTTTTTTTTTTTTTTTTTGAGGCTATGTGAAAGGGCAGGCCTATATTCCCCCCTCTTCCTACAAGCCTAGAAGAACTTAAGCAGAGAATCACTGAGACACTAGAGAATGTTATGCAAGACATGTTACAGCCTGTTGGGCAGGAGCTGGACTACTGATTTAGTGTGTGTTGTATCACAGGAGGTGCACATATTGAACATTTGTGAAGCTTTGTAAAATCTACATCTCTTGGAATATCTTGTTTGAATTTTGATAAATAAATCTTTTATTGTTCCTGGGATATGTAGTTACTCAGATATTCACATTTTAAATGATATCAGTTTTTTTTTTTGGACACCCTGTATATTAGAAACCTGATTTACATTATTTACATTGTTCAGACTGTTGTCCACATCTTTATTATTACTTTCGCAACGCTTTGGCCATTGTATACTCTAGTCATCTTCAGGTGATATTTGCTGAAATTTTGAACTGAACCCTTTATTTAGTCCATGGATACATTTCATATAATTTCATGTACCATGCCTTTGGATATCTCTCCATGTTTTTGTTCTTTTTGATTGTATTTTGTTAATACTGACATGCCTACTTTATGGGGCAGAATCTTGGATTCTGTACTGACGACACATCAATCAACTTGATGCCTTCCGCATATGTCGCCTTTGTAGCATCTGTAACAGAAAACTAGGTGATCGCATTAGAAATAGTGAAGTCTAACTAAATGCAACACGAAAAGTATTGAAGCCATTCTAATGAAAATCCAATTTGGGTAGGTAGGACGTCTTTCTCATATGAGAAAGACCACAGACTTCCAAAACTCTCCTTTTTGGCCAGCTTCTACCAAGCAGGTCAGTTGGATGGCCATTCTTGCATTTCAAAGACAAACTGAAGTGATGCTGTCAGAGAGAAGGAGGTAGTGCCTGTCCTGTTTCTTATCTATACAAATGTTTGAACAAAGCTGACTTGAACATCGGCATCAACTGCATGCAAATATTAAAGAAAGTTGGCATCATGCTACTCCTCTCGGTGATAGCCTTACCTGCCTCTGTGACACATGCAATAAAGGAGGCTTTGCTGTCCACTTGGGAAAACATGTGGCAATTGATTCTCAACTACTCAAGCGAAATGGCTCAAATGCATGTTCCATCTGTCTAAAAGTTTGCAAAACACCTGCAGACCTTTGGAGATACATGGGTGTCCATAGAAGTTGAGCACCTTTATTTTACTGAGCCCTCATTTGTTGTCCATGACAAGAGATCCCATATATACAGGGTGACTAAAAAAATAACTCCCTATTTTATATATGATGGACACTCCTGTCTAACTATAATTTTTACAAGACTGGGAAAGTCTGATACATAAAATAGGGAGTTACTTTTTAATTATCCTGTGTATACACACACTTTCTACTTTTATTGACTATGGAATTTCTAGGTGTTATTTTCTAAAAAAAATATATCATTTTATTTGAAACTTGTCTAGAAGCCACCCTTTGCATGGACTTTAAGCTAGCTCTTGCAGAGGGCTTTTGAGCCTTTGGCTTTTTACATTCAGTGTCCTATGTATGTAAAAGTTATAAGAATTTAAAAATAATAAAATTATTTTATCTTTATTCAACACCTTAATTCAGCATAATCTTTCTTTGTATATGCAACCAATCTCTGTAGCTTGTTTAGATTTATTTTGCACACAATTTTTATCTTTTTTTTTTTTTTTTTTAAATCCCCATTCTTTATGATTCCTTCAAATAAATAATGTCTTAAAAGACATTAGTGAACCTGAACTATATAATATTTTAAATATGTCACAGTACACATGCTAGAAAAAGAAAAAAAAATCATATAAGCAATGTATTGTGTCCTGCTTAAGTTTTAAATATGGTTTAATTAGACAATATCGATTGCAATTGTGATGAAAAGCAAAATTAAAGTTAAACCTTTAATAAAGAATTGTTTTTTTAAACCTTTCACTCTGATATTTAAATTTAACTTTAAATGAGTTTTATTTATTTAATTTTTAATCATGTGTAACTACAGTTGTTACTACCTGTTAATTCAGGTTATGATTCACAGATTGAAAAACACATACACTGCACTTGATTTATATAGATGTAGTAAAAACTGGCGAATAGAACTACTATTTTTAAAGCACGTCATCTTTTATTTTGTTGTGGGTAGTATAACCATTATCAGGATGGAAAGTGAAATCAGCAATGTGAGTTCAAATTCTGGCTTAATCTATTTACTTTTGTCCAAATTTCCTTTAGAAAGGCATGAATCCATCTCGTCTCTTCCTCCATAATTATGTGTTATATAGCAGAGCAGACTGAACTCTCTAGCCTTTATTGGCAGCCAGTTTAAGAATAGGACTACTCTGTATTCAGACTCATGGAGAAGGCAGTAGGATACCACTCCATTATCTTGCCCACGAAGTTATGCCATTTTACAGATGGAGAAAATGAATCTGGAGTGTGGTGATTGCCTGCATCTGAAAGGGACATGAAATTTAACCAGTACAGCACCAAAAAGTATCCACTAGCATTAGTATCACACAATTGTGAGACAATACTAAAAAACAAAACTGGTAATCTTGGAACAAATGAAGGTATGACAATCCTTTACCAAATAATAAATAAAAAAAATTAAATTCATTCACAGTGGACTTTAAAGAAATATTTACCATTGAAAGAAGAAACTGAATATTTAGAGAAAAGGTGGCTGCTCTAATACTCCAATGAAAGATAAACATTGGCAAGCCGAATTTGTCTGCTTAAAACAAAGAAAACTTTGATAAATTTTAAAGCAGATAAGATACTTACCTCATCAACACTTCAAGGAAAATGGCATTTTTAATATTTTTTTTATATAGACACATACATATATGGTTAAAGAAGTGGCTGAAAGTGCTTGGGACAATTAAAATTATGGAAAATTTCTGTATTTCCTTACTCCTACAAAACAGAAAACATAAGAATGCTGGAAAAGCTAAATATAAAAAAAAATTAAATAAATCTTCTTTCTCTGCTGTATTTAATGAAAGATTTTTAGAATAAAGGTTGCTGCCCAAATATGCACACACACACATATATATAACAAAAAACGTGCAAAACACATTTTATTGATACAGCAATAAAAGGTTTTGTAAAATCCCTGTGAGATTTTCCAACAAAATGCATTGTTTGTTGCTGATTAATTAAAAAATAGTAGGTACTGAGTGGTTAGAATGTTAAAAAAAAAAATCTTATTCCCTTGAAAATAATCTGCTTGTAAACAATGAGAATTGTGTAAAGATTTGTCTCTTTATATCTGCAGTATTATTTTATTTTATTTTTTGACAGTTTTATGTATTTCTGTTTTATTTCCTCCAATTTTTGCTTAGATTTCAATTTTAATTTTTGATAAAATGATTATGGTGATTCTTTTGGACTGGCCTCTTCATCATCTTCAGATTTTTTTTTTTTTTTTTTTTTTGAAAGCTTTGAGTCAGTTGTCAAAATGTAATGACATGATGTAATTCAAAGATATCGATTTAAAAAAAAAATACTTGGAAATTCTAGTCATTTCCTTTTATATATTTTTATTAAATTTCAAAGCCAATTTTTTACATAAATTTTTAAATAATTGGTAATAAATGATGACTCTCGTCATAGAAACCATTCATCCTTTGCAGAGAGAGTAAGACAAGGGGAATAACTCTAAATGCTATAAGTTATTGGCCTTGTCTAATCACTTGTTTAATCGTAACAAATTTTGACTAATCTCGTTGAATGATTATTTTTCTAGTTATATAAATGTAAAATCTGCTGGCAATAATATAAGCGATAGATGGCTATAAAAAAGCACCGCTGATTATTTATAGCTAATTTTAAATAATGCACTGATTATTGTTTGTATCGTGTGTTAATAATTGTAATTAAAATGGTGCACCAAGTAATAATTTTAAGTTCTCTGAATATCAGTGATATTTAAACTTTATAAAGCCATTTAATCTTTTTTGCTTTCTTTTTAAGCCACGTCCCCAAGTTTGTATCCTGCCCTTGGGTACAGGAAATGATTTATCTCAGGTGTTGGGATGGGGAGAAACATTTTCAGGAGAAGTTGAAGTTTCGGAAATTTTGGATAAAATCAACAGAGCTCGTGTTGTTGAGCTTGACAGGTAGGTGTAAAAAAAAAAAAAAATGTTTTCTAAAGATATCATGTTCAGAATGGAGTACAAAATCCCCCTGCTCCCCCAAAAGTATACTTGTTTTTTTTTCTTAATCCCTGTTGTAATTATTGTTATATCTGATAGTAAAAAAAGGCTTTGATATTGTTTGAGTGCCTGATTGTGTTAGCCAAATGCTAGATATTTGTAAATTATTTTCAGATACACTAAATTCAATTTAGGCAAAGAAGAATTTGATGATAACTGAGATATTATTTCTACACATAGAATAACATATATAAAATAAATTCCCCCCCCACACACAGACCCTATGCCCAATATCTAAAAGTAGATAATTAATATAAATGAATAACTCACAGGCAAATTTTAGTTTTATTTTGATGTTTATTTGCATCATCATCATAACATTGGAATGGCATGAATTCACTTGTATTTTCTCAGTGTGTGTATATATATATGGCTTTTTCTTTTTTATTAATGCTTCCATTCCATGTCAACATTGAATAATGTCCACTATGAACATGGCCACAATGTGTTGACTGTGTTTGGAAAATAAAACATTCCTATCACTCTAGATACATACATAAAACAATCCATACATTCAGTAAAAGTAAAAATGAAATATTCTTGATAATGGCTAAAATTATAGCTGAAAGCACTCAGACATAGAAAACATTGGGACAATTTCTACATAATTTATTTCCAGAAAAGAAGAAAATTATAAGAACACAAGAAAAATTTAAACAAAAAACTTAAACACAGGACCTTGTATAAGAGAGATTGCTGCCCAAATACACAAGTCTGTGTGTGTGTGTGTGTGTATATATATATATATATATATATATATACAAAACTTGTTGATATTATTCAGCCAGACATGTTTGAAAGAATTGTTGCTGCTGAAATACACCTTATTTAAATTCTGACATTGCAGCAAACAAGGGCACTTATACAACAAAATTTTGTTCTTGCATAGAAAGAGAAATCAAAACATTCAAGGATAAATTAAAAAAATCTCCAAGTGTGAATAAATAAAATTGGCAACAAACTGAAATATAAATAAATATGAACTTTGGTAAATTTACTGGTTTTATAAAAGAACTAATTTGAAAAAGTTAATAAAAAAAAAAAAGAAAAAAAAATTAGAAAAGTGGATTGAAAGAACCTGTCAATATTATTAAACTAAACACGTTTGAAAGAATTCTTGCTGTTGAAATATACCTTGAAGCTGTATACCCCCCTGTTGCAGGAGAAATCACTGAGTGCTCCTGCTTGATTTAGACAGCTAGGCTATGGCAAGTGTCACAGCCCATAAAGCTTTCAATTACTCTTTTGAAGAATACCTGGAGACCACAATTTTTTAAGTCTTTTGAATGTGCAGCTACCAGTAGACATAATTCACACTGCTTAAAAAAAATTGGGTGTCAACTGAAACATGTGTATCCATTAAAATAACATTTGGAGTAATATATATATATATATATATATATATATATATATATATATATATAGTCTCTATTTTTTTTTTTTTTTCTAGTCATGTATGCATGCTGGCTTGATATAATACATAGAAATAAATAATTACATTAAAAACTAAATCAAAATTCAACATATTAGATAGTAAATTACATCACTTAGTGTTCGCTATAATTAACCTCTTACCTTACACAGCAATCTTCAAGAATATTTTAGAGAATTCTCGAATTAAAAATTAGAAAACTTGGTGTAGAAGTTTTACTTTTGTCTTTTCTTTATTTATATATATATATATATATATATATATAAAAACTGAGTTTCACATTTCAATGTGATCTTCAGACCAAGAGCTGCTACTCTTTAGCAGGCATTCTCTCTTATATATTCCTAAGGAGATTAAGAGAAGAGGAAATTGGCCCTTCCCAGTTTCTTTTGTTTAGTGCTAATGTTGAGGGTCATTTACAGTTATGACCTCCAGATTGCTTGCCTATATGGGTTGGGTGCAAAAAAAAAAAAATCTGTCTGTAAATAGATTAACTTTATTTATGGTCATATATATATATATATATATATATATATATATATATATATATATATATATATAATAAATTATTTATTTGAAAATTATAACATAAATATATAAAATCACTACAAAAATAGTCATTTTGTTTCAACAATTCTGGAGTCTTCTCTATACACCAATCCTATACTTGGAGATATATACTACACACACACACACACACACACAGAGAGAGTAATCCCTCAACTATCACGGGTGTCATGTTCCAGAACCTCCGTGATAGGTAAAAATCCATGGAGTAGGAACAGGATTGGTTAAAGTGATTCATCAAGGTATTGTAATGTATATCTTTAAATATTTTTATATATTATAGTTTTTATAAAGCCTCCACACACTCTTATAAATCTTTTCTATACTCTTAAACATTTTAAAATTAAACTTATCTTTAGAAACATCCTTATGTATTAAAAAAAATAAATTCATTTAAAAACAAAGAAGAGCATTACATTTCTTCTAAAGGCTCCACTTCAGAAGGCGCTCTATCTTATTCGTATTTATCCTCCTCTGTAACTTCAATTACTGCAGTAGCTGTCTGTTCTGGTTTTTGCAGGTGAGGAAAATAGTGATGGGCATTTGCTGGCACTGCTTTTTCTTCTATGAAAGAAGGGTTTTATAAACTTCCATGGCTCTGTTTAATGCATTTCTGAACTGCGACATGAAAATCATCTGGTCGTCCCATTCTTCTGCCATTCTCTGCATTTCTTTTCCCGTTCTTACTGAGGTTGAGAGATTTTCCTGTGCTAAGCCAATTTCTTCTTCCCCTGGATCCTTTTGTTCTTGTTCTTCTTCACTTGCTGACTTTGTCATCTCCATAAGATCTTCTTCCATTAATGGATCTGAGTGGGCCTTGATCAGGTTATTAATGTTCTCAGAAGTTATATCTGTAAAGCCATCTCCTAGCAATTTTGCCAGCTTCACTGCCTTATCTACTGCTGGGTGGTGGATTTTGTCAGGAGAGAATCCTTAATAATTGTTGACCACTTCTGGACACAATTCAAAGTCTCGGTCTTCATTTCTTTTATGGCCTTCTGAATATTTTGGAGACATGTTGCAATGTCATGTCGAGCGCCTTAAGTTTGAATGAGACCTTGATTCATGGGCTGGATAAGCAATGTGGTGTTTGGTAGTAAAAATTCAATCTGTATGTCGTCATATGACAGGTCAAGTGTGATCTCCAGTGTTGTCCATGAGGAGAAGCACTTTGAATTCAAGTCCTTTTACAGCGAGATGAAGCTTGACTTCAAGGATGAAGCATTGGTGAAACCAATAAGATGTCAGTTGTTTCATTATCCATGCCTTCTTCTTGTGTATCCAATGCACTGGCAGCAGTTCCTTATTTTTGATTTTTCAGGCTCTTGGGTTTTTGGACTTATAAATAAGACCTGGCTTTATCATAAAGC